TTATTGATTGGTTACGCGGTTACGCGATACGCGGCAAACACGCTGCATGGGACTCCACCCTTATTTCTTACTCCGTGTATTGTAGACGACGCCTGATAGTATAGCTGGAAACACAATAGACACAGGCAACAGGCACAGATAACAGGGATTAAAGCGGGTAGCACAGACTCTTGCATAACGCATAACACGTAATGCATAAGAATATGTACCAATCGAAGTTCTCCGTTTCTTTCCCTTCCATGTAATAGAGAACTCTGGTTGGTTCAATTTCTTATGCCTCATGTGTTATGCGTTATGCAAGAGTCTGTGCTCCCCGCTTAACGAGCCGTCCAATCAGAGCTCTGGGATATAATATCGAACTTATACCCCAAAGCTCTGATTAGACGGCTCGTTATTCCCTGTTGCCCGTGCCTATTGTCTGTGTCTATTGTGTTTCCAGCTTATCTCGTCGGTGATAGTATCTCGTCGGTGACGTAAAGCGGGGTCTACAATAAAAGTTGTAGCAGTCGTAGAGTCTTAAGTCGCAGAAAATTAACCAATCACAGTAGAATATGAGAAGAATAATTGACTTATGATTCAATTTTCTACGACTTAAGACCCTACGACTGCTACGACTTTTATTGTAGACCCCGCATAATACAAATTCCGTAAATTCGAAATGGCCGCGTTTCGCGTAAAAATGGATGCGAGTTTGCGGTACTTTATAAGATCTAGTGACTTTATGTTCTGTGAGTCGGATGGTTGACTCAGGTCAGGAGTCAGGTAGTCTCACGTCTCACGAAAAAGGTCAGAATGATTGCTTTCGAATTTCTCTGTGCTAAGTGCTGACACAAATACTATGGAGACTTCTAATGTTATCGAGAACGAAAACAATCCGTATGCTTATCTCGATAGAGATCATTTCACGTCTGAGAAGTACAAGATTGAAGTGCGCGGTTTACCAAAATATTACGGAATTGGTGAATTCAAAAAGCTTCTAAACGACAAACTAGATTTGCAATCATGTAAAGTAAAGCCACCTAGGAAAGGCAGCAGTTGGTTGTATGTATGTTTCAGAAGTGAGGAATGTCGTCAACGAGCAATAATCTCTATAAATGGGATTTTGTGGAAAAATAATAAACTTACCGCACAGGTATTCTTAGTCTTTCGTAAATGCTATTTCTGAAATTAAATATACAATTTTAGTTCGTTCTTTTTCTTTGACATAGGTGGCTAAACCAGCTCCAGATCCTTTTGTAAAAAGAAAACTGGAAGAAGAGTCTAGCAACAAACGTTTAAAAACTGACACTGAGGATTCAAATTGTTCCCCTATGGATAGAATCAAATTTATCACTACTCCTTTGTGGAACATGCCATATTCAGATCAAGTAAGAGATTATACTATGCCCTTGTTAAAAAGTATTAATCTCTAAATATTATTAAACACCAAAATTTGCTCTAACTGAATGTGGCTTTCTTTAATTAATTATGTTGAACATTTTTTGTTTGACTTTCACACTAATTATTATTAAATCTCTATTATACATTTCCAGCTGGAATTCAAGCAGAAGGAGATGAAATCTATCCTAATAAAAATTGGTCAGCAAATGCTTACCGAAAGTAAAACGATAGAATGGGTAAATTCCCAAAAAAAATTATATGATGGATTGCCATGCAAACTACAAAATATTCTTTCAGCGGATGTTACTGAAGCATATAGAAATAAATGCGAGTTTACAGTTGGTGATTATTTTTTATAGATTTATATAAGGATATAAAAATTTGGCTAAGTTTAATTTACATTTTTCTTTCTTATGATACAGGTAAAGACAGCGAACAAAGCAAAATTATGATTGGTTTCAGACTATCAACTTATGCTTCAGGTTCTACAGCAGTTGGACCTATCGATGATCTTTGTCACATTCCAGAAAATATGAAAATTGCTATAAAGGTAAAATTTAATTTTTAATTTTTTTTTGTATGTGATAGAGATGAAGATAGGCTAAGATCTAAAAAAAATATGTGTTATATTTCAGATATTGGAAACATTTATACGTGAATCAAACTTAGAACCTTTTAATCCAGTTGATCATAGTGGATATTGGAGGCAAGTTACTGCTCGAACCACTCGTGCCAATCATCTGATGTTGATAGTTGGAATACATCCTCAGAACCTAAGTAGCAATGAATTAGATATGTTAAAATCGCAGCTGAAAATATTTTTTGAAACTGGAAAAGGTGTTGATGCACATGTTACTTCGTTGTACTTTCAAACAATAGATAAGAAGTAAGTATATTATATATTTTTAATATACAGAAATATTACATATTTTTAATTTACAGAAGTATAGGTGGTGAAAGTAGTGATACCTTATATCATATTAGTGGAACAGAATATATAGAAGAAACGTTACTCGGAATGAAGTTCCGAGTTTCACCTCAAGCATTTTTCCAAGTCAATACATTGGGAGCAGAAGTCCTATACAATGCGGCAATCGATCTTGCTGAACCCACGATGGATACAGCGCTACTTGATGTATGTTGTGGTACTGGAACTATAGGTCTCTGCTTTTCGAAGGTATGCTAAATTCAGGTAATTAATTATCACTACATTATTTCTGAAAAGATATTATAATGTTCATTGTTGTAGTATTGCGGCGAAGTATTAGGAGTGGAAATTATTCCTGATGCTATACAAGACGCGAAGGAAAACGCTGTCAAGAATGAAATTAAGAATTGCGAATTTTTTGTTGGGAAGGCGGAAGACATTTTGTTGCCTGTTATTCAGAGGACAACGAAATCCAATATCACTGCCATTGTGGACCCTCCACGAGCTGGCTTGCGTAAGTTATATTATACATAAATAATATTCACACAATATTATAAGGAAATAGTATAACTTACCTGTATATTGTTTTTCTAGATCAAAAGGCTCTACTGACACTGCGTAAGTCAAAAAAATTGAATAGACTGGTGTACATATCGTGTGATCCTCGTGCTGCCATGAGAAATTTAATTGACTTAGCACGACCTAGTTCCAAGCAATATCTTGGTGAACCCTTGGTACCGGTAAAGGCTATTGCAGTTGACATGTTTCCTCATACTAAGCATTGCGAATTAATATTGTGCCTTGAAAGGCTATCGAAGGCGATGAAATAAAACAAATAAACCATTTAAAAAACAGTATAAAACATTGAAACATATTTGCATGTTTTTCCATTGTATACATATATATAATAGCGTATGTACATATTTATACAGAGTGGATATTAAGTCACTCTAAAAAGTTTTAAGGAGTGATTTCTTACACAAATAAGATGAAAATCTTGAAAATTTTAAAAATCGCCCGAGTTCTTTTGATGAAACTTCAAACATACAAAATTTCATCAAAATAACGAATGATTTTCGAAATCTTTCGAAAAAACGAAATTTTTCCTTAAATTTTAATATCCTGTATCTTTGAAACTATGCCATTTCGAACATATGATCATATGAAGTTTTTATCTTGAATTTGTGTGAGGAATCACACCTTAAAATTTTTAGAGTGCTTAGTATTCATCTTGTGTATGTATATTACAGTTTTTTTTTAAAAGGTAGACACAAATAGAGAAAATTGACAAATTTTATCAACTTTACATTTATGACAAAAAGGAACACAATTCCACATTTTTTTTAAAAGAAATGTCAATAATAATGATTATTTATCTCCTTGAGTATGTTATATAATTTATATCTGTGAATATATATTTTATTTAATATCACAATAACGATAATGTAATTTAAAATGAATACAGTTCCAAAAGAATTCAAATATTTCTATGTTAATTAAAACAAAGAAAAAAGAACAAAGCTCATTAATTACTCAGTAATAATAAAAAAAAATAGCTAAAAACGAATAAAAGACATTTATTGTCTAAAATAAGAGATATATACATACGTTTCAACTAATACTTCATTAGTTTCCGATACTGATTCTTCATCAAATATTCTAATAAGAAAAGAAAGTAAGATGAGACTGAAAAACAATAATTAGACACTTCTAATTTTGATACTTGATGCTTTCATATATAAAAAATTATCGTAAGTTTTTAATTTTACATTTTTTTTATTCAATTGCTCTTTTTTTCTAACAATTCTTTGTCATTTATTATTTGACATTTCAGACTTGATTTAACATTATTCTTTTTTTGGACTTTTCTATATTTTTTGGATTTAACAAAATTCTCGCTATGGAACAATAAATTTATCACAAAAATTTTTATATCTTGACATTTTATTTTTCATATTTCTATTGGTTGACCCGGCAGATTAATTTAACAGATTTATTTTTTGTTTAATTCTGATTTGGCTCTCATTGTCGGATTTATAGTTTATTCAATATGTTTTTTTTTCTTTGCTCAGTGTCGCCGGCTGGCGACAATAAGTGTCTTCAACCTATCCTTTAGGTTATATGACACACAAAACTCTCCAATCTTGACTGTCTATTCCAAAATACCCTAGATGACCCTATTTATACTCCTAAAAAAGTTATAAACTATTCTCACAGCTGTCCATCTATCTCTCTTAATCCAAGTGAAAATACTATTCTCATTAAAAATGCCTCTACTTCTAAATTCCAAATCTAGTCGAATTCTGGCTTCGTCATATTTACTACATCTCCATATAACATGATCCACATCCTCAATCTCATAACCACAATCACATCTAGCACTGTCAACATAACCTTTTCTAGCTAACGACTCATTAAGATTATAATGATTCGATCTAAGCCTGTTTACGAAAGTCACAAAAGCTCTTTCCTCATCAAACTCCGCAAACCAAGGTTTATTCATAGCAGGGTTATAAAAATTCTTAAAATAAAAAGTACCAACAGCTCTAGAATCTTGAACTATAGTGGATTGCGTATTATTCCACATATTCTGTCTAAATAAACTTCTAACATCTAAAAGAGGAACCACAATATCTCCCTGCATCTCCTCCTTAGATCTCTCTTTAGCCATTCTATCAGCTACCTCATTATCAACTACTCCTATATGCGCCGGTGTCCAAACAATTATTATATTTTTATCCATTTTATTATATATTTCAAACAACCTTTTCCTACTTTCTACTATATACATATTCTTATATACATTAATCTCATTATTGTTAATTGCCTTAATGACAGCTTGACAATCAGAGAAAATAATAACATCTTTTTTAACAGAAACACATTCATTATAAATAATATCTAACACTGCTTTAATGGCAAAAGCCTCTGCTGTAAATGAAGAGCATTCTCTTGGCAAACTAATACTATACGCAGTAGTACTGCCCTCCAGCACAACACCGGCACCGGTTGCAATTGAGTCATCAGATTTCGAGCCATCCGTGTAAAAGATCGTAGGTTCCATAGACAAACCAAACTTTTCGATAACTGCGTCAATAAATTCTCCATCATTAATCTCTTCTCTCTTACGTCTATATCCCGTCAATCTATTTTCACTTCTTTTGTCAGTGTTTCATATCTAGTATCAAAAATCTCAAATCTTCGATTCTGTCCCATAATTCTGTGGATACCTCTTATATTTTCCCATGCTTCCACAATAACACTCTTCTTAGCCAATGGATATCGGAAAACATGAAAATTTTCTAAATCCGTTAAAGAATCCAGCCTATTACTCATATAGTCTTGTCCATAAATGGCAATTTTGCTAACTTGATTACGAGCCAAAAAACTGCTCTGTCTCTTAGTAACATAACTTTTGCTTCAGCAATCTAAACGTTATTTGGTGTAGAATTTCTGTATCCTAATGCCGTTCTAATTCCTCTAAATTGAGCTCTTTCTAGACTGAGTCTAAAACGTTTTTCACGAGGATAAAATATCATAATACCGTATTCTGCAACCGATCTTACTAGGCTCTTATACAGCATTAACGCTGTATTAACTTCAATTCCTCTAGAAACTCCGTTCATATATTGTAACATTGAATTGGCCAGAAATACTTTACCTCTAACTTCATTAATCTGTTTATGGAACTTTAAGTTGTTATCAAACCAGACACCAAGAAATTTTGTATTCCTTGAACAACTAATTCTAACATTTTTAACATCTATTACCATATCCATGTCTATCACTCCATGTTTTGAAAATTCAATCAGTTCTGTTTTAGAAGGTTGAAGTTCTAGACCCAATCGTTCCAAATTATTTGCTATAACATTAACCGCTCCCTCCAGAATATCACGGTTCCTATTTCTATCGACATCTGTTGAGTAAATAGCAATATCATCAGCAAACTGAACAATTTGTAAAGTATGCGGCAAACCTTCAGTAATATCACATGTATAAATGGCATATAGCAAAGGGCTCAGAACAGCACCTTGAGGTAAACACACACACCTTTATAAATTATTCTATTAATTATATTCTCACCATTAGTTATAAATTCTGTATCTCTACTTGTTGAACATTTAACGAAATATCTCCATATGTGATGTAGAGATGTCTCTACATGTACTATATTCCTATAGAGCCCTCTATATCATTCTGCCTCTTCTCTCAGTTACTTTTACTTACCATGTTTTTTTACACTTGATACATGTATACCTGAAACTTACCTTGTCTTCATATAATAAAACAAGTGTTTATTGTACTACCAAAATTAATTGTGTCTTGGTGAATCTCCTTTTACAACATTGGTTATGGGCCCAGACGGCGTGTAATAACCATAACAATAAAAATAGGAGAAACGCTTGTAGGATTGCGTAAGAATTTTCCTGCTAACCTCAAAAAGGGCACGTGCACATTGCCATTCTCCATAATCACGCGTACACGGACGATTTATACATCGAGTGAAGCGAGCAAGCTACACAAAAAAAGAAAAACGTTAAGCTTACTATCAAATACAAAAGAAATGGCGAATGTAATCAATTCCACGCGCATCGAAACGCTCTCGAGAGACAACTACGACACTTGGTGCATTCAAGCAGAGGCCCTACTCATAAAAAACGATACATGGGGATATGTATCGGGCGAAAAATCTAAACCGGAAATCATTGGGAAAGGAGCAGAACGCATAGCATCCAAAGCTGCATACGACAGGTGGGTAATCGAAGATCGAAAAGCAAAATCTGATATCATTCTTTCCATTAGTCCTGCAGAATTGAAAAACATTCGTAACTGTGAAACATCAAGGGACGTATGGAACAAGCTTGAATCCGTCTATGCATCAAAGGGACCTGCACGGAAGGCAACACTATTAAAACAACTAATACAAGCTAGAATGTCTGAAGACAAGGATGTAAGAACACATCTAATGAAATTCTACGATGCAGTGGATAAGCTTAATGCAATGAACGTTGAGATCAACGGAGATTTATTAACCATAATACTATTGTATAGTTTACCGAGCAGTTTCGAAAATTTTCGCTGCGCTATAGAAACGCGGGATCAACTTCCTGATGCGGAATCACTAAAGGTAAAAATAATCGAGGAATATGAATCTCGGAAGCAAAAGGTAAACGAATCTAATGCAATGTTCTTCAAGCAAAATTACAAGAAATCTATGAACGTAAACAACAAAACTAATATCAAGAAAAGATGTTTTCAAATATTGAAGAGACTCGGAATGGAATAAAATTGGCAAATGAAACTACAGTTCAGGTGACTGCAAAAGGAAATGTAAATATCATTGCCGACAACGGACAGAAAAATATTCCATATACGCTCACAAACACCTTCCACGTATCTAGCTTACGCACAAATCTTCTGTCAGTTGCTAAAATAGTTGACAAGGACCTAGAAGTCGTATTCAATAAAAACGGAGCTCTAATAAGGGATGACAGCGGAAACATAAAATTAATTGCCGATCGAAAAGGCGATTTATTTTATCTACGCGAAGGAACTCAACAAATATGTAACCTAACAGCTTCCAAGAAAACAGAAGCGGAATTATGGCATGACCGTTTATGCCACACCAACTTCCAAGACATAAACACTATGTCAAAACAAGAGAAAGCAATCGGTCTGAAATTTAATAATGCGAACGTACCGGAAAACTGCGATACATGCCTAGCAGGAAAATTTACGAGCATTCTATATCCCACTAGAAGTGAAAGAGCATCTGATGTCTTAGAATTAATACACACTGACTTATGTGGTCCGATGCGCACATCCTCGCTCGGAGGAGCTTGTTATTTTGTTACAT